CTCCATACCATTCCACCCCTCGGCAGTGATACTCCTGGTCGGGTTACGATTAAAACTTTCCTTGAACCTCTCCGACTTCTCCAAAAACGGCTCAACTTCTTGATCCAATGCTCCATTGCTGTCGAACAATTGACTTTGGAATCCTTGATCAAAGCACTGATCAAGATGGACACTGGGTCTCCAGCCCGAAATTCCAGTGCAGATAGTTGGGAAGATCTCTCGTCTGGACTTGCAGACATCAAGCACGACGGGGTCAAGCATACAGACTTTAGTCATGCAAAGGACATTCGACTCCCTATTTACATTGACAAAGATCTTGAGCTGGATGGAGGTAAAACTGGCCGTGGTCGGGACATTGCTAAATTCAGACTCCCAACCCAACCTGTGGAGTATGTTCCACAAGGTGACCTTGTTTTGGTGACCGAAAAGATTCTCGATATAAGCCCTAAAGCTTTGTTCCATATATTATTTGGCGATAAAAGCGCTGTGTGGCAGCTTCTTTTACATGAGAGGCAAGCTCGAGGTTCGTCGATTCTAGATCCCCGATCACTTCACTTATATATGGCTGACATTTCAAAGACATCAAACAAGGCCCATGGGCTAGTACAGAATTGCGGCATTTGAGGCGTGACTTCCACTACAACATCTGTACCACAGATATCCTTGGTAGGCTTGATTATTGATGATCTTGAGATTGAGCTATAACTGATTTTTTATAGGTCGTACTCACGAAAATGCCATATCGGATTATCAGATCATCGATGTTCTTAACGACCATCTGTGCTATGTGATCACAGATAAGAAAACTCCATGGCATCTCCCCTTCCGACGGTCGTTCCGGTTGGTTAGCAAGGTTGTCATTACATTCCAGGCCAAGTCGAAGAGCAAGCTTGCTATTTATACGAAAGTCGAGTGGCTATGGTCTCCATACGGCCTCAAAAGTGAGTCTTACCCTCTTACTCGCCCATTTGAATAGAATAAAATAATCTAATATACCCAGGTGTGATCGACAAAAAAGCGAGTGACGATCTAGAACAAGACTCCCTAGATCTTGTCGATCTAGTCAGTGACCAAGTGCGTCGATTGGGTGCACACAGTCGTACCAAAAAAGCCATCACGATCTTCGGTCACGTTGGACGCCAAAACCACGTCTCCGAATTCAGTGGCGCTGGTTCCAACTTGAAACTGGAACCCCGCAAGCCTCGAACACAGCGTGCCATGCACGAGCTTCTTCTCGAGACCTTCTTGTCATTCCTTGAAACGAGTATTTCCTTCCTAATGATGTGGGCGTTTGGCGTAGTTCGCTGGTCTTGGAAGACCGTGAGTGCACACAAGATCATCCTGACCATGTTGGCCACAAGCGCGATTCTGAACGGATACTATTCTTCACGGGATAGTTGGGACTGGTGGCACGAGAGACATGCAGGAAACTTCATGGCACGGCTGGGCGTGCAGCCAAACCTCGTTATGAGCAAATCTATCTACATGCGGGATGTTGATGACGCGGTTGCAAACTCCACAATCTGGCTCCGTACTGGCAATGCCAGTGATTGCTTTGCTACCTTCCATGAGCAGACCATGCGATATTCCGAAATGCCTCTGTCACTCAGTCCATCGGGACCCCGGGATGCATTGACCAAGAGCGCCATCAAACGCTTCCAACAAACCCGTGAGCGTCTTGGCATGTATCGACACAGCCTTCTTGTCGCATTGCGTGTCGTGAACAGCATCGAGAAAGAGGTTGTTCAGACCGAATGGGAGCGTTGGCTCCGCGAGGAGGTCCGGCGTTGTCGCCAAGTCGAGGTTCTCCTTGGCGGAGAGGCCACTCAGGGCGACGACTCGCAGACGGACCGAACGGCCAAAGCCGAGCGAGTCTTTGCCGAGCATGCGGACGATGTCAAGCAGTGGTATGAGGAGTACTGCTCGAGTTGTCGAATGGAGCAACAACAGGTCATATTCAATGATCGTGGTGACCTAATTCCTTGATTTTCTTCCTGCAGCAGTTTCTAGCCGTCCCTGAACATATTGTCAAGCCTTCTGTACAGCCATCTAGCATTTCTTGCTTCTTGCTTATCACTATACCCTGTGGCTAGCTGATCATGTGCCAACAAAATTTCTTGTGTATAATTTCGGCGCTATCATGCAAGTCGTTGCTTTGATTGTACTCTGGATACCACATGGATAATTTCAATTCATTGCTCTTTTGAATGAGTATTCGTCACATCATGTCGTTAACCCACGAGGGGTAAGAATGCAATAGGTATTAATGTGTACATATGAGAACCACCCAGCGCCGCACCCTTAGTTCTGCCTCGGCTTCACCTCGCCTTCATGCACAACATAGTACGCCACTGTCCCGTCCCCACCCATGCCCTTATCCACCATAGCAAGCAAGAATCTTTGCGTGCCCCATTCTTCGGTCAAACGAGCCTGCTCCTTTTTATCATAGTATTGAGCCAATTTCTCTGCCTTTTCAGGATCCAAACCCTCCACCCCCGGCTGCACGCTTGTAGGATTGGCAGACCGATCCTGCTCTTCAACCTTTTGCTTGAAATCAGAAAGCTGGTCAAACACAGTAGCCATATGGCGCAAGGTCCACGGCTGACCCTGTGTAGTTGGAACCACGAACATGCGCTCTGGTGCGAGGTCGTCTTCGCGGATCCCGTTTTCTAGCATATACAGCTGCTCGTCTGGATGTGTGTACACGCGGTGTGGGGGGTAGCCGGAGAGCAGAGGAATTGGTTCTTTTGGTGGTTGCCGGGGGTCTTTGCTTAATGTGTTTGAGTCATCTGCTCGTCCAGGAATGACGTATCCCATTATAGAGGTCCAGAGGTGTTGGTGCTCGAGGTTGTGCTGGACTTGGGCGGATGTTGCGAGGTGGGGGGAATCGTAGCCTTTTTCGGTGATATGCTCGGTAATTGCCGATGCATTGGGCCGTTTGGCGGCTTCCTGTGAGTGCGCCATCGTGGATATTTTCTTGGAGCTTTTTGTCTTGTCAGCCTTAAATAGAGGGAGCTCTAGTCGAGAAACTGTAAATCTCGGGACTTTTTTGGACACACCGCCTGCTTAAATCTGATTTATTTACACCGCTTTCCTCAATTGGATTATATAGTTGAGATAAGAAGCTAGGAAGTTCCTAGGTTAATGAGAGATTTGAAATGATAATTTGAGGAGTGTCTCAAGTCCGTTCCTTGTTTCATCTTGAGTTCAATTTTAAAAAAAAGAAAGAAAGAAAGCTAAGTGGGGTGGCGATCATAGACGAGCTCAAGTAAGAACACATGGCATCTTGTTATTCTTTTGGTTTCAGGTCCAGGAATCCTCCAGGACCCTCATGACAACCTAGGACTATCCTCGACAAAGGACCATCTTCCAATCCTTTCGCATACATAATTTATATTGTCTTGTCTTGTTCGATTTCCTTGCATCTCCAACTTTAATTCCACCCCAATTTGTCGCAATGGGACGACAAAAGCAAGCAGCGCCGCTCCAGAGAGCCCCTTCTCAATTAGTGCAGCTCTCGGAAGAGTCCGATGCGCCACAAAATACTGGAACTGGCAACACAAACACAGTATCCACCGCAAATGGAAGCGTGTCCGAAAAAACATCAGCGGCCCTGGAGACAGTCGCCGACAGCCCTGGGCTGGCGCAACTTGTGATTTGCGTTCTCGGCATATATGCGGCATTGTAAGTGCCTCGACCGCGTTTCGCCTGATTTCTAAGACCGGCCAAAGAAACTAATAAGACAAAAGCCTCTCGTGGGGTGTGCTACAGGAGGCGATCACGACGACCAGCTATCTCGTTCGTCCTGCAACCGTCGCGGAACCAAACCCTCCAACAGAGCGATTCACCTACTCCTTGGTGCTGAACACGATCCAGTCCTCCTTCGCGGCCATCACCGGCTTTTTATACCTTCTATTCTCCACCCCGAAAGGCCAAAAGATCCCATCTATCTTTCCCACACGCCGGATCATCTTCCCCCTGGTGCTAGTTGCAATCTCCTCGTCACTTGCGTCACCCTTTGGCTACGCTAGTCTCCAACACATCGACTACCTGACTTTCATCCTTGCTAAATCATGCAAGCTCCTCCCGGTCATGGTCCTGCACCTGACCATCTTCCGCAAGAGATACCCGCTGTACAAGTATGGTGTTGTCCTGATGGTCACTCTTGGTGTCGCAACTTTCAGTCTGCACCACCCAGGAACTAGTAAGAAAGTCGCTGCCAAGGATCAGTCTGGATCCTCCGGATGGGGCATCTTCTTGTTGTCCATCAACCTTCTTTTGGATGGCCTGACCAACACCACTCAAGACCATGTGTTCTCCTCACCCAAGCTGTACACCCGCTTCACTGGACCCCAGATGATGGTCGCTCAGAATGTTCTGTCGACCATTCTAACGTCAGCGTACCTCCTGATCATGCCTCACCTCTCTCAGAGCGGGGTTTTGCATAACCTGCTTCCCTTCCCCATTCCCCCGTCCACCGAGACTGAGTTGTTTGGTGCCCTCTCTTTCCTCTCCCGCCACCCAGAGGCGCTGAAACATGTCCTTGGGTTCGCGGCATGCGGCGCTGTTGGCCAGCTCTTTATTTTCCACACTCTGTCTCGCTTCTCTTCACTTCTGCTTGTCACTGTCACCGTTACACGTAAGATGTTGACTATGCTTCTCAGCGTTTTCTGGTTCGGACATTCTCTATCCGGTGGCCAGTGGCTGGGGATCAGTCTGGTATTCGGCGGCATTGGTGCCGAAGCAGTGGTACAAAGATCAGAGAAGAAGGCGAAAGAGCGGTCGAAGATTGAGGCTGCGAAGAAGGAGCTGTGAGGTGTTTTGCTAGGCTTTGTAGATAAGCTTTCATGTGAAGAGCATTTAGATTCCCAAAATATAAAGCATAATTTATAGCCTCGGTTCTAGGTGGCTTCTCCTTCTACATATTTTCTCAGGTCTTTTTGGGTATATTCTTGAGGTGACGGGTTGTCTTTTAAAGGGCAAAAGTGATTGGAAGAAGCTCACTTCCGGCCCTCAACCATGATGATGTGATATCCAAACCCAGTCTTGACCTCAGCATACTTGGGATTTCCCGTTGTGCTAGTTTCGAGTTCAAAAGCAACATTCTCAAATGCAGGGTCCAGCCCACCCTTCGTCTTCCATCCAAGCGACCCTCCTGCAAAAAAGAAATCAGCTCTGTCCATTTCGTCCCTCAGAGGTTTACTTACCCTGTCTAGCCTTATCCTCCGAGAATTCACGAGCAACCTCATCAAACTTGGTGCCATTGCGAAGCTTCTCTAGAGCTTCTTCTTTCTTGGCGTGTTTCTCGCACTAGACATGATTAGAATGAGCTATATAACAACGCTTTCCCCTGTCCACAGAATATGGTAGTATTTGGCCAGCTCCTAGCACCATAGATAGAGGTCCTGGGATTGGGAAGAGAAGCGCAAGAAAACATACAAGAATGTGTCGCACGTTAATCGACTGTGCGCCTTTCACAGCTCCTCCCTTTCCGCCTTTGCCTTTGGCATCATCGGCGGAGGCATCTTTGCCCTTGCCCTTGGCAGCTTTGGCGTTGTTCTTTGGGGCCATTGTGGACGAGAGTGTTCAATAATATGTTGTTATCGCTGCTTCGGCCGTTGGTTGTTCGGATTGAACTGATGTGGGGTGGGATATTTCTGCCTGAGGTTGTAAGGCAGAAAGGGTATGTGACGTGGATGCAGGTGTATTCATTGTTGACTCCCTCTACTCTAACGCGTTATGCATATTATGGAATTATCCTAGCTCGAATGCTGCAATATATTGTTTTTCTATAAACTGTTCATCAATTCTTTGCCTTCGTTCACGCTGCCATCCATTCATCAATAACCATTGCCGAGACAAAAGACCAACTGAAACCAGCAAATACCGGGGGACTAGGAGCTATATTCGGTATCAGTCCGAGTTTGGAAAGCAAATGGGGCCCGATCTTGAGGCTTCACGCATCACCGCTTTGCCTGAGGATGCATTCTATATATCAGACTTCATTACAGAGGATGAGGAGGATTGGTTACTCCAGAAGGTAAGTGCCAATGATTGTCTTATGATGTGTTGTTAGAAATTATGCCTTGGACGGTTGATGTTAGCTACTGGACGAAAAGTTATATGCGCTTGTGATTATGTCATTTCTCCTCGAACTATCCATAGACTGCATGTCACTTGTTCGTGTTCAGATCTCACTCACTGCAACAATCTACAGGTAAAATTAGCGCCACTGCCGCGCTGGACCCAGCTCTCGCACCGCAGGCTTCAGACATGGCCATCAGCTCTGACAAAGAGTAATGCCCTTCTCGCATCGCCCCTACCAGCTTGGCTTAGCTCGCCGATCATCGAGCCGCGGCTTGAGGCACTGCATGTTTTCAACGATGCCCCCCACAAGGCGCCCAACCATGTCTTAGTGAATGAGTACCAGCCCGGACAAGGGATCATGCCGCATGAAGATGGATCAGCCTATTATCCCCTTGTTGCGACAGTGAGCCTAGGGGCACCGATCGTGCTCGATTTGTATCACAAACACACCACAGGCGACAGGGAAGCAAGCGGTACACCAGCTGAAGGCGGAAGAGATGTTGCCGGGATAAGCGACAGAAATCGAAAACCTCAATACAGAATCTTGCAGGAGAGACGAAGTCTGCTGATCACGAGGTGTAAGATGTACACAGATCTTCTACACGGAATTGAGGAAACGACGAGAGATGAGGATCTGGGCCCCCACTCTATCTGCAACTGGGAGCTCTTGCGGGAGAGGGAACCGTACCAGGGCGGGTGGTACAAGCGGAAGACGAGAACTAGCCTTACATATAGGGACGTGCTTCAAGTTGTGAAGGTGGGGAATGGCTTGAAGTTTTTAGGTGGGAAGTAACGATCGCGTCATTTGCAAATACCGGATTTTTGATTTTTCTTTTTAGCTCTATGTTAGTACACGTGGGGAATCATTAACCACCAGTCCTGCACTGAGTCTTTGCCGAACTTTTGCGCATACCACGTCTTGGTATTCCGAGCTGTGAGACCCAGGTTGACTGCGACAAAAGCCAGACAAGACAACATAGTTTTATTGACCCATTCACCCCGCGGCGCAGCCAACAGCGCCAACGACAAGTAGATAATGCATTCTGCGCCGTAGTGGGGACAGACGACACCGCGGAACATGGGATGCTCCGGGAGGGTGTACTTTTTCAACGAGTACAAGTAGTGATGGGAGTCGTGCTGCAGACCAGACGCCACCAGGAAGAGCGGGATGAGAAAAAAAGTCCGCAAATTTGGGGCGTTGGTCATTTGTAGATGAGCAAGGGTCAGATTTTTGGTCAACAGAGTACCCGAACCCTCGATCCAGATTGCAACTCCTGCCGCTAGATAGAAACCCAAGCCCAACAGCCAGTGCATAAACCACATCTGCGAGGACGAAGGTTTCGAAAAGACAAAGCACTCCCATAGACGCCGGGATCCCTGTATAGCCAGTAGCACACAGCAGATCACCAACTGCGTCAGGGACATGGAGTGTCGTTGATGGTCCTCGCTAACGCGGGATGCGATGGCTTGGAACACCACACCCCGCGACAGCAATTGCGCAACCCAGAAAACCGACGAAAGGACCGATGCAACGTAGAAATGTGTGAAATAGCTATGTGGCACCTGCCAAGTAGCAAGATAATCAAGGAAGCCCTTGCTCTCGGCGGAGGGGTTCTGGGCGCGAGGTGGTGCAGAGCCGGTGGAGATCGAGGCCGGGTTTGCGCGTGGGCCATAGGCGAGGAAGCGGGACCGTAACGAGGTTGGGATACTGACTGAGATGGTCTGCATACGAGGGGTCGGCGTTAGTTCGGTTCGTCTGCAGGTGGTGTCCACTATCACCAACTATCACAGGGCGTATCGTACCGTGGCGGCGGCCAGCAGGAAGAACGCGCGTAGAGCGTCCACGGCATCCATGCCGGTGGCTTCCAGGGTGTTATCGACCCATTGAGAAATTAGAGACATGACTCTTGGATGAGTCTTTCTTTTTCCACCCTTCTTTTCCCCCGTTTTTGTTTCGTATTGTTTCTAATTTAGTGTCATTGTGGTGATATCAGTGAGGTGTTTTAGGGGAGGTGTTTATTGTGGAGAAAACCAGCCCCCCCCCGCCGATCCTTCAGCTCTCGCCAACGGATGGAGTTAATTCGGCCTTGAGATTAGCTTGGGATTAGGTAGCTTGGGAATTGGAGAAATTGGGGAAATTGGGGCCAATTGCGGTTGGTCACAGACAGAGGTATTTTGTACTCCGTACGTATGTCATTTCTAATTTCTACAGATGTTCTAATATTATACTCCGTAGGTAACAACATTAAAACTGGTTATGAGATATGAACTGATGCGCTGAGTGGCGAGTTTTTGAGGCAAATCCACTTGACCGCATTTGGTCTAGCCTATATAGGATGTTTGACGGGTTTGCAATTTCCGAATTAGGGTTAGTGGCCAGAGGTTGGTGCCCCCCTTTTTCGCGGTATCATGGTATCAGCGTATCATGGTATCAATCGTATCAATCGTATCGTCTTCCGTCTTCCCGTATGGACATCTGGAGTATACACATGTTACTAGTATACCCTCGGAACAGGATGTGCATTCAAGGATAAGAAAAAAAAAAAGAAAAGAGGTAAAATATTAGAGCTCTAATGTCGACCCCTCATAGACAAAAGCATATTTCGAGTAGTCAAAAATCCCACCTGCAGCTCGATGATTCTACTGTGGCCAAACCTGACCCAGTGAGGAGCCCTACACCCAATGAATCCAGTCCCATTCCTTTCCCTTCCCGCTTTTCCTCTTCCCTTCTCTTTCTTCCCCCATTCAACCCCCGAACTGAAAAACAACCCTCGAAATTAACCTTCGATCTATATACCTATACCAGTAAATCCAATAACTGGACTTCCTCGACAACTATCCCGTATCGCTCCCGTACCCCCCGGAGCGGTATTGCCCACGTTTCAAGACTCTCTTTGCGGGTGAAACCCGCGGTCGAGGATCGGCATCCGCGCACAACTGCTGGCGTTGTCGACCACGGTTGTTTTGTCGGTCGCGTTTTCCCCCCAAAATGACGAGCGGCATTTCAAGTCTTCGAGTGCTATCGCTATGAGTGATGTCGAGGCAGTCTCTTTACCAGCTGCCCTGGACGTCGGTCAGAATAGGCTTGCCACAGTAAAGCCAGACCCTGTTGGCCCTTCATCACCGGGCAAAGCTCGTGCAGACTCTCACCCACGGGTAGACAGCGATGGACCGACACGTGTACATTCAGAAGGGGAGGAGGAGGACGGGCCTCCTAGTCCTAGGGCGGATTCGGAGGCGGAGACCATAATCCAGTCAGGTCGAGAATCTTTGTCGCCAGAGAAGAAAAGAAAGCATATCAAACACGACCCGAGTCGCCATGAACCTAACGGAATCGATGGACACCAGCGAAAGAAACCACGAGTGCTTGGCGACATTCGAGAACGCGAACGGGAACAGACACGGAGCCCTCCTTCTCCAACCCACCGAGCAATTTCGCCGTCAGTGGTCAAGATCGAAAAGGTCGATGATTCTCAGATGTCAGATACGGAAGGCGTTGCCAATGGAATCGACCGTACGGCAGAGGTACCTCGTGCTTTCCGTAAGCGAAGCCTAAGTGACAGCGCAGAGGAGCAACGGGGTCATCGTCGCGCACACTCCCACGCAACATCCCATCCTGTACGGGAACTTAAACATACCAATAATACGCGCCTCTCAAGGCCTCCATCCAACGCGCGATCACTCTCACCCAGCCGACCATCTCACCAACGATCTGCTTCTGGCTCTCAGTTCCCGACGAAGAAGAAGGCGCCGACCCCCGTGCTCTCAGGCTCTGGGCGACATAGCTCCGAAGATAGACAATCGACGTCCTCCTCCCAAAGCGGTTCCCCAATGCCGGCGCACCTGCGGAAGCTTGGCTCTGGAGTCGGTGCGTCCGCGTCGCCTGCTAAGCATATGGGACCGAAGAAGTTGCGTGACAAGAGTGGCCGGACTCCTCTTGCGCGGGCGTGCGCGGACCGGAAACATGATCAAGTGATGATGCGCCATGCCGAACGACCGGAAGACATTAATATCCCCGATAATGCAGGCAACACCCCCCTACAGATCGCATCGCTTGCTGGAGAAGCCGAAATCGTCAAGTTCCTGCTAGATGCAGGCTGCGAGATCAACACTAAGAATATCGACAAAGACACCCCGTTGATTGATGCTGTGGAGAACGGCAATGTGGAGGTGGTCAAACTTCTGCTTGATGCAGGTGCAAACCCACGAACTGTGAATGCTGAAGGCGACGAGCCTTATGAGTTGGTTCCGTCCTTTGTAGATGATGACGAGTATGAAGAGATGCGGAAAGCGCTTGCAGATGCCAAGGCCAATTTAAGGCCTGGCCGACGCTCAGAGGAACATACAAGACCAGAGAGCAAGGAACCTTCTTCACGACGAGCTTCGGCAGTCAGAGGATCGGTAGCTAGCCCCCGAGATTCGCCTCCGATGCGCAGCCCTCCTCCGGTGGGCGCGGCAAATCGACGAAAGGGCGGGCGAAGCGAAGCCACGAGAAATGACCTTCTGTGGACGAAACCCACATTCGAGAACCTTCGAGAGTTTGCTGCTAAAGGTGATGAGGCTGGGGTGGTGAGCATTCTGAATATTTTGCAGAAAGCCGACAATGCTTCCTTGATTGCTGCAGCAAAGGGTGGCCACCACGATGTCCTCTCTCTCCTGTATGCGATGGGTAATGCAGATGCGGATCCCAACCCGTTGCGTGGTCAAAAACCGGGTTACAACACGCCTATGCTTGCTGCGATTGGTCGAGGCAACAGCGCTGTTATTCAGCTTATCCTAAACCAACCCGGATTCAACCCAACTCGACGGCTGTTTGAAGAAAGGACATATTTTGAACTGTCTCGGGGTCGACAGGGTGAGAACTGGGAAGACGAATATCAAATTCTGAAGGAGGCGCATGAAAGGTATGCAAGTTCTGACAAGGGTCGCAAAGACGACTCACCCCGCCGTGCTCGTGGGAAAGAGAAGGAGGAGAAACGCCCCCCACGCAGAGGGTCTTCCTCCCCTGTCGCGCGCAAGAAAAATAACAGTCCCAACGCCAACCGAAATCGCGATTCTTTGAAAGAAATGGACTCAATCAAGGAAAAACGTCGTCAAAAAGAGCACGATTTATCACGACCATCGGATTCCTCCAAACCCAAATCTTCGTTATCCGTCAGACGAGACAGCGAGTCTAGTGGAGTGGCACCCAACGAAGACATCCGAAAGAGACGACTCATTGCTGGACGTCGCCCCCAGGAGCGCAGGCCAAGTCTATTTTCATCTGATTCACTCTCTGGACGCGAAGAGCCACCGAAGCCACGTGTCGACACAGCACCCGACAACACATTGTCCTTGAAGCGCATTCGCGCTGATGGGTCCCCGGAACGATCTCGTTCACGTGGTACAGATGGTGATCGGTTGTCTCCCGAGGCGCGCAAAAAGAAGAGACGGGTTGTCTCCGAAGATAAGTCTTCTGGCGCTACACATGGTGCGCCAAGACAACCTGATGATACCAGCAAACCTCATCCTCGCCGACCCCACGAGGAATCTACTCGACCTGCTGAACCTCAGCCACATAAACCCACCGACGCCCCCAAGAAACCCTCAACCCGCCCAACTTCACCCCGTCATGATCCCGTTAAAAAGAATGGCGATACGAAAAAAGAACCACACGAGCCTAAAGCTGATCCTATGGAAGACACAATGGCCGTCGCGAAACGTATCGAGCTCGAAGCCCATGAGCGTCGACGAGCCCAGGCCAAGAAAGCGCAAGAGGAGCGTGCTGCGAACGAGAAACGCATCGCAGACGAAGCCGAACGCGATCGCCTGGCCAAGGAAGAAGCCGAACGATTGGCTCAGGTTGAAAAAGCCGAAGAGGAAGAGCGCAAACGCAAGGAGGTTGAACAACGACGCGCCAAACAAGCCGAAGATGATCGCCTGAAGCGGTTGGAGCAAGAACGCGCTCGAGCTGCCAAGATGCGTCGCGATCAGGAGGCAGCAGAGCACCGACGCCGTGAGGCTCTTCCCAGTCGCCTTCGTGTTGCGGCAAACCTCGTGGGATCCAACAATCCTCGCGCGAAAAGCCATGACTGGCTTAAGTCTTTCATGCCTCTTGTTACTGCTCTCACCCGCCAGCTCGATCCTAGCTGTGGCGTGGATGTTGCCGACGAGAAATGGATCCCGAATTACTTGGTTGCGCCTCTTCTGGCTACCAATGATCTGCAACTTTCGCAATACCCAAGCTGGGAGAAGCGAAAGGCCACACCGACTCAACGTGTAAATCTGTGGCGAGTCACTCGTCGCATGTTGACCCATACGGACGATGTTGGCTTCCAAAGCTCGAGCATCGGGCAGATTATGCAGAAGGATTGTGACACGCGCCCAAAGTATTTCGAGATGGAGCATGTCTTCTGGATCCGAGTAAGTTTCCTTGAGCCTTGCAGATTGTGCTTCACAACTAATAAATCTCTTAGCTTTCTGATTTCACAGACCTCGTCCCACACATCCCTCACCTGCACGGCCTAGAATTGCAGTTTTTGAACATGCATGTCGATCCGGAGCCGCCGGTGGCTGGCGCAGGCTTCAGCACTCCCCAACTCAATGGCCATGGCCCGGAAACCTCAGTCGAAACCAACGGCACCGGGCTCAATGGTTATGGCCCTTCTCGGTCTAGTACATACGTCTAGTTTTGTTTTCAGCGTCTTTTCGCAGACCCGGCGCGATGTCAGCAATTCAGCGAAGCGGTGTACAAGGCGGATTCTGATTGTACGATTATGATACCTCTCGCGTTCAGTGATGATTCTACTGTTATTAGGTAGTTTTGCTGTGGTTTAGTAGTCAGTGTGGTCATGAATGTAATCATGCATACCTGTCTGTGTCAATAACACCAAGTTCAAACACAATTCTTCTTAATAGAGATAATGTAGGCACCTGTAGCAAGGCAGAAAATCCCATACTATGTTGGAAACCTAAAGATCAGATTATCAGCGCCATCCAACTGGACTTGTCGTATATACATTCATTGTATAGATGCCAATATCACGTGATTACATCTGCGGGGACTACATGACATAATCGTAGGGCACACACAGCCGAAAAAAGTCGAAATAGCGGGAAATTTCACGCCGCCCGCACCACTTCTTAATTTCTCTCTCCAACAACTCTACTCTTCGAGGATCATCCGATTTCAAGCATAACAAGCAACAAAATGGTATGTTTCATATCTGTGAATTACATTCACGCCATACCCACGCCCGCATCGGATCTCGTTACGACGATTGAGACACTGGAATGGACATGGCCGGCGAGAGCGATTGCGTCGCCGCACTAGAGACTACCCCTCGTCGGCCCTCTTATCTATCCTGCGCCGATCCAGTCCAATTCCAAGTCTCAAGAGTTACGACAGCGATCCAAGCAATGGAACTCTTTACGCACATGATACTAACAAGAATCCTCTAGTCGGACGGAGAAGAGCCCACATCCCCCATCGCCCCCGCTGAGGAGGTCGAGGTTTCTGCCGATGCCGGCAGCGGCCAGATGTCCGTCTTGGACGCCCTCAAGGGTGTTCTGCGCGTCTCCCTGATCCACGATGGTCTTGCCCGTGGTCTCCGTGAGGCCGCCAAGGCCCTCGACCGCCGCGAGGCCCACATGTGTGTCCTCAACGAGGGCTGCGAGGAGGAGGCTTACAAGAAGCTCGTTGTCGCTCTCTGCTCTGAGCACAAGATCCCCCTCATCAAGGTTCCCGATGGAAAGATGCTCGGCGAGTGGGTCGGTCTCTGTAAGTTTACTCGCGATCTCGATACATGATATATCGTTTTAGGGCTATGTTTTCTAACGTTTTGTTTCTCAGGCACTCTCGACCGTGAGGGTAACGCCCGCAAGGTTGTCAACTGCTCTTGCGTCGTTGTCAAGGATTGGGGTGAGGAGTCCCAGGAGCGCTCCGTTCTCCTCAACTACTTCCAGACCGAGCAGTAGATTATTTCTACTGAGCGGCTGTGAGTAGTGGACCTCGTTTTAGACGTCGGGTTGACTGGGGGCTTTGTGGTGGGGATCAAAGGAGGAATACATGAGGGATGGATCAATGTCGAACCAACCGGCTGGACTCGGAGTTCTCTGGGTTTGGTACTTTGGTTGGCGGAGCTTTGTGATATCTCTATTTGGTCTTTTGAACCTGTCATTTCGAATCACCTAGTCTATAGCCGTGCCCCGTTTACTCGGGTTCGCGGCACCAATGGCATCTGGACATCTTGTCTACTTTGACACCAAAGATAAAATGAGATGCGATAGCATCTGTTCCTCATTGTAAAAACTTTTTGACATAAGTACATGTAATCAACATTGTCTCAATATCGCCTGAGCAAACTAGTGTTCTTCGATTAACATCTACTACACAAGCAAGGAGCAAAAATGCCAATCCATGAAGGCTCTTTTTGCACAGAAAGTGCACTGTCCAGTTCCAAAGCCCAAAGAAAGAGACCCCAATCCAATGAAAGAAGACTAAAACTGAACTAACTTCTTTACATTGCCATTTGGTGTTAAGTTGCGCAGTTCCCACTTAACACCAAAATCGATACGCCAAAACACCGATAATAGGGAGTGGAAGGAGGCAATAAACAAGCTTCGCCCAAATGGGGAGAGATACACTCATAAACCCAATGCTGTATAACCTTACCGCTTGTTCGAGAAAAAGGGTAGCGTTAGGTCTTCGGTCCGCAAATGCAGTCTCCACCATCAAGGAGCAAAGAATGAGTACAAACATCCAAAGACCCGCGAAGAGGAAAGCGTCTAATAATATCGTGGTCGTATTGGCGAAAGGATCACCCTGTGCCGCCCAGAGGATAACTGCAAAAGCCAACCTGCCTATATGTACACTGATCAGATCAGATATTTTGAGGTGGGAGACCCAATCATTATGCGGGACGTTGAGGTCCACGGTGGTTGGGTCTGCTATAGAACGGGGTTCGAGTGGGGGTATGAATTGGCCGTCAGAGAGTGTTTGTGATCTGTCTTGTACGTGAGTCTCATCCTCTGCGCGAGTAGAAGCGAGTTCGGGCAGAGGTACGGTGTCGCCGTTAGAGAGAGGTTGTTCGTCATCCTCTGAGCGAGTCTCGTCCTTTGGGCGAGTCTGATCTTGGGTAGGAGTCTGATCTTGTACACGAATCTCATCCTGTGTGCCAGTCTCGTCTTTTGCGGGAGTCTCATCTTTTGGGGGAGTCTCATCTTGTCCGCGAGGCTCATCTTCTACGCCAGTATTAGACCTCTCAGTTGAACCTAGATAATAACCACCAGAACTTGACTCACCTTCCTGTATATATTCGATGACTGTGATGAGCGGTGCGGCCAGTAACACCACAGAAGCAACTTGGCCAAACGACCAATCATTGAAACCAGTCAACGAAGCCTCGAGGCCAATTTGTTCCGGTCGGTATATTGTCCTTATCATTCGGGAAATGCCACATACAAAGGCGATAGTTAACCAGCCGACCTAAGGCCAAGTCAGAAAACATGAGATATAACCAACACCCGTTCCATATAAGATATCTGACCTCTGTAGCGGCAGAATCCCACACATCCACGAGCACCAAACACGTGAAGTAGACAGACAAGAGGGGAAGGTAGCAAAGCACCAATTTCAGACTCCGTGGTGAGCCCGATGCGCCGCTCCAGTTAGACACATTTCTCCAGTCATTCACATCGCTCCAGTCATACGCAATATGCATCAACCTTCGTATGGGCCGTGCAAGGAATGTTCTGGCTCGTCCAACAACACCAACTGAAAGTGTATCGTAGAGGTTAATCACCCTCGAAGCAAATCCAAAGATCATCAAAATCATCATGTAAGGCATCGACAAAAATGCAGAATTGATTCCCGGATGAGGGCGCATATAACAAATTGCAGGGTCACTAAGAGTCGGGTGATCATCATTGTCTGCGCCAAAAGCCCAATGATAGTTTCCGGTGAAACTAAGCCCCACGATCAATAGTATCACTGATACACCCACTGCTAGCAACCTAAATACCCGCTCAGTGGGGTGATCATGGAGATGGTTGCGCAGAAGCGTTAAGCAGGAGAACTGAGTTAGGCAGGAAAGCCAGCCCAGGTGGACGACGACTTGCCAATGATAGGTTGATAGGCCGCATCTGAGCTGGAGAAACCCACTGACCAGGATGGAGAAACCCGTCACTATTTGTATGTCACTCAATTCTCGGATGCACTGTTTTTTTTGAAGTTGTTTTCAATCATTCCTGATTCCCTAATCTGATCTCGTGAGAATTAACCCACCTTGAGTAAGAAGTCTGCGCGTTTTTGGCGGCCATTGTTGACGAAAGGTACGTGACTTAGGATTAACCTGAGGCCGTTCAATATGCTTTCATCTATCGGGTTAGGTCGAAATGAAGTTGCTGGAGTTTGACCATGTTTTTGAAACGGTTCCCGGGTTGGATCGTAGATGGCGATGTAGTGGAGAAGAATGACCACTACAGTGAAGCCGGCAGTCACTATATTGTTGATAATGATCTAAGAATGTGAGATGCGCCCATGGTCAACAAGTGAAAGGCCCAAGGGGAAACTCATACCCCAATCCCAGTGATATCGCTGTTTTCAGATAATGCGGGGGTGGGAGCTGAGCAGTTGAAATTGCAGGCCATAACGTGACCGAAAGGCGTCTGATTCCTTTCCCGTATATCTATCAGAGTATCTCTCTTTATTGTAGACCCCTAGGTTGTTAGGGTGAAGTTGTTGAGGTAGACATGGGGGGTTTCTACCTACACAGGATATCCTCGCTTACGCACGTGGTGGTGAGGCTGAGGTTTATTGGTATTGGTATAATCTCTGTTGTTATACGTCTAGGATAAGCCCTATTTTGTATAAGCCGGATCTTTCCCTTTATTTATGGCTACAATAGACTACATTAAGAAGATATTTAACAGAGCGGTGCTTATACACTTGTCGCATACTCCAGGGCTGTATGGAGTACAAAATAGGGCTGGCCAGGTCCCCGGGACCAGTGGATCGTCTTAGTCAGCCGGATTTCGCACCTGGGCAACTTTCCAACTCCGACGGCCCATGTGTGTTTATTTGTTCCTTTGAGCTCCTTTAGGCAAATCTCTGCTTTTGCTTTCTTTGTCATTTTAGGTTCTAATCTTGATGAGAGAGAGAGAGGTATATTGGCATTATTTGCTATAAATTTAGTCCATATTAGGGTTTACATCTTTCTGAGATACCCTAATCTATTTAATCCCCCAATCCCGAATCCGACCGGACATCGGGATGGAATCCGCTCAAATCCCAGCCGGGACCCCGGCGCCATATGGCCGTGCATGTATGAACTGTTCCCGTGCCAAGTGCAAGTGTATTCTCCCTGCAACTGGTACTGGCTGCGAAAGGTGAGTGACACTGCTAGACAGTGTGGCAATAATAGCCCGAACTAAGCACACCATGGGTAGATGCCAGCGCCTAAACAAGGAATGCCGGCCTGCGCAGACAGTCCGCAAGCGCAATAAGCAACCGTCGGGTTCTAATACTGCCCATCTCGAGGCCAAACTTGATTGGATTATGTCCGCATTTGAAAAGAGTGGTGGCCCCCCTGGTCTTCCTCCAGATTGGCAGCCTGTAAACCTAGGACAGCGTTCACGGCATGATCCAAGTCAATCTGCACCAACCGCTCAAAGTCCACCTAGTGTCTCTTCTCTTTCGACTGCAGAAGAAGGACATTATCCTGCACGGGTTCTACCTTCGTATGATAAGGAGATCTTGTCCCTGATCTACGTCCCGCCCGCCATGGCTCAAAAGTGCCTCGACCATTTCCGCACTCGGAACTTACAATATCTCCCCTTTGTTTATATTCCTGACAGCATGACCTCTGACCAACTGCGACAGAAATATCCATTTCTCTGGGTATGTATTATGGAAGTCACCACATTTAATAACCCAGAAAAAGGCGACTCTTTCGGGAGAATAACCAACCATATTCACCAGAGAGTTATGCTCGACCTTGTGCCGAGCATGGATCTTCTCCTTGGAATAATGACTTTCATATCATGGTGAGCAGAAAAGAAGTACCCTTTCGAAAACCACTTTCCTCATTATAATTCTCTTTGCAGGGTTTCATACTCTAGAAGGCCATTCCTAAATATCTACGCACACATCCTAATGGCAGTTGTCGCCGAGCTTGGGATCAATGGCCCGAATGATTATTCGGCCATGAGTTCTTTCAAAGACGCCATTGGAATGAAGCAAGCTCCACCCGCAGCCAGAACACTAGAAGAAAGAAGGGCTGTGCTGGGATGCTACTTGATTTCATCAAGGTAAATAGTAAATACCTCGATAAACTCTCTAAACAATAATTAACAGCTATACTATCAGCGCCGCATTGGCAATATCCAGGATCGACGCTATGCGCTGGACACCGCACATGGAAGAAAGTCTTTCAATACTCACCGAGGCTAAAGAGTGTCCCCAGGATGAGCTTTTAGTTGCACTAGTCAAGATCCATTTGGTCTTAGACAGAGTTTATCAACTACGGCGGGATGGTGATGTTTTTATCTCGTTGCCCTTCTATTTGGATAGCTTCAAAAATCAATTAGACACAGTGAAGGGCCAAATCCCGCCTCACCTTCAACATCACAGTGCGTCTCTACCCCTCTTGACTCTCCACAGCCATGACTAACAAGACAAAAGGAGTCATCCTGCTGTTTCTCTACAATGCCGAAATCATAATCAACGAACTGTCAATAGGAACCCCCGCCATTCCACATTCGCCTGATCCCCGCCGCCTCGACAGCCTTTACGCCTCCCTTCGAGCAACAAAGGGCTGGCTAGATGTATGGATAGAATTCGAAGCAGAGGAGTACCTACAGTTATCATGTATAATCTTTTTCCAATTCACTCGAGGCATTGTCAGCCTGTACCGGCTCACCGTCCTGGAAGACCCGGCATGGTCCAAAAGTATGGTCCGAGACACCGCAAACATCCTCGAATACCTGAACAGAAACGAAGCCATCATTAGAAGGGGCCCAGACCTTGCCACTTTCGACCACAGCAAGGAAATGAACCTCCTCGAAAAGGGGCTGAGAATGATCCAAGGCATGCGAATGAACTGGGAGCCGAAATTGATGGAAATGTGGCGCTCAGATATACCCGGTGACAATGGGATAGATAGCGACATGATCCAGTCTAATGCTGTACTCCCTGATGTTATGCCTGTGGGTGAGATTGATGAGGCCTGGATGATGGACTTCCTTGGCTCATTATGAATCTTGGCCTGTGATGCTTGAAACCGTGGACAAAAAGTGAGATGGGGTTTAAAAGCATTATACATAATATAATTTACCCTAATATATTGTTGAATCTTTGGAATCTCCCACAAATCTCCAATCTATGGCATGCAGAGCTGCAAGCTCCGAGGCCACGGAAATGATTTTCTATTTACCCAAGAGCACCAGGGTGTCTACAGAGTCGAACACAACTTTATAATCCGGCATTCCTTCGCTAAAATGCACGTTCGAGATGCACAATGACCAAGCACTAAGACGCTACCCAGGTGGGATTCCATGTGACATTGCGGGGAAATGTCTACATGCCACTTGGCCCATCCTTCAAACCATAACTGCTTGATTGTTAAGCACCTGAAATATCCATTGTTTTGTCCAAAGACTGCCATCTATCAAGACGGGCTAACTATTGATTCTCATTATGCTATCTTGGAATTCTAACACATGCACTTTTGATACGATACACATGATCTGTCTGGTGGCCATCACTGTAAGTGCTTTAATTTTCTTTTTGCATATCAGTCACATCACTGAGAATGTTCCAGCTGCTAGGATATCTTTTATGGACTGTGGTTTACAACCTTTACTTAAGCCCACTGTCGAAGTTTCCGGGACCGAAACTTGCCGCATGCACCAATCTCCAAAACCTATACTGGACATCAACAGGGCAGTATCACTACAAACTCAAGGAGCTCCATGATAAGTATGGAGATGTAGTTCGGACGGCTCCCATGTCTCTTGTCTATCGCAGCCCGCAGGCATGGAAAGATATCTACGGCCACCGCAAACCGGGAGCTGGGTCGTTCCTGAAAGACCCCAAATTCTACCTTCAGGGGCCGAGAGGACCAAACCTTCTCAATGCCAACGACGAGGATCATTCAAGAGAAAGAAGATTGCTCTCGCATGCCTTCTCTGAAAAGGCCCTGCGTGAGCAAGAAGGCCTAGTTCAATCATATGTTGACATGTTGGTGGAGCGACTGAGGGAGGTAGTCTCATTATCGCAGGAAACAATCGACATGTCTCAGTGGTACAACTTCACTACATTTGATATCATCGGGGATTTAGCTTTTGGAGAGCCCTTTGACTGCTTACGGAAAAGCCAATACCACCCATGGGTCAAGATAGTCTTTGTGAGTATGAAAGCGATGGCATTATTGCGTCCATTGTTAGTCTATCCTTTTTTGGCACCGATTGTCAGAAGGCTTCTCCCAAGAAGGCTCACAAAGATGCGAGAAGAGTCATTCGCCTTGGCAACAAACAAAGTCCATCGACGATTGGAGACCAAGGTTGAACGGCCAGATTTTATGACTTACATCTTGCGATACAATGATGACAGGTCTATGACCATACGGGAGATGGAAGCAAATGCAGCTTTGCTGATACTCGCTGGAAGTGAGACGACGGCCAGTCTACTCTCAGGGTTCACCTATTATATCATGGCAAACCCTATGTCCTATAGGAAACTCGTGGATGAAATCCGAGAATCATTCAAATCTTACGAAGATATTGATTTCCAGAAAGTTGGTCAACTGACTTACCTGAACGCAGCACTCGAGGAAAGTTTGCGGGTTTACCCACCTGTTCCGGCTATTATTCCGCGGGTTGTACCTAAGGACGGTGCATTGATCGATGGGCAATTCGTCCCAGAGAACGTAGGTCTCTACTTCCAATTGTAATCTTTATGTATATTGACCTCAAAAGGTTTCTGTGTCTGGGGCCCACTATTCTACCTACCATTCCGAGTCTCATTTTACCAAAGCTGACTCGTTTATCCCCGAGAGATGGCTGGATAACAGAGACAAACGCTTCAAGTCGGACAGTCGGACAGCAGTTCAACCATTCTCACTTGGGCCCCGTAACTGTCTTGGAAGAAAGTGAGTTTTGGCATTTGATACCTTCGGGGATTAGCCTAATTGTGTCCATTTACAGCCTTGCCTATGCAGAAATGCGTCTAATTGCGACCAAGGTCTTCTGGAGCTTTGACATGACCATGCACGAGAGTTCAACCGCTTGGAATATCCAGAAATCCTATAATATTTGGGAACGCAAGCCATTGATGGTAAACCTCTCGCTGGCACAACATTGAAAGTGTTGCAAAATTAGCCGTATTATGCGTTTTATTTAGTGTAACTGAGTGCTGTGGATTGCTATACAAGGTGTCTAGGTAGATATAGGATCACTCGCCACACTCGTGATACGAGACGAGGAACCATGGACGACTAGCACATCACTATCTGCCAATAAACAAAGCTCTCGATATTTTATTTGCGTGTCATGTGTAGAACAGCTGTCTCAGTTTATTTGCCTTTAGGTGAGCTATTAAATGTATATCTTGCTGAAAACTCTGTTGTACATACATGTATAAGGTTGTCATACAGTAGTTAGTCTTTGCTATCTGTACAAGCATGTGTACAACCCTGAAATTGAGACATCAATCAATGTTGGAGGTGCGGAACCAATATTGAGATCTAGCCGAACATGCAGACATGGGCTATGGTTGCACATTTGAAGACAAGGCTCGGATTTGATGTTTTTAACGGTCTAGTCCGAAAAAGCCACAGCTCTAAAGTTACACGCCATGAAGTTTAAGCGTGTTGACCGTTGGGTTTATCCATATTCCCCGGTAATGCCGGCTCTCTGGCGAATCGAGATCAATATCTAGATCAGACGACATGCAGACTTGACAAGGGCCTAAATCTTTGTATCGCAACCCAAAGGAAAAGTAACACGCTTCGATAGCGAATTCGAGTATAAAGGTTGCTCCTAATCCAACGGTCAACCCACTACTCACCATTGACTATTACAACCATCGCAAACAACAAACAGAATGTCTAGTTTCGTAAAGATTCTTGCACTTGTGCCTTTGGCACTAGCTGCCAGCCCGGTCATGATGGTCACTAATCAGGTACGGCTGAGTGTGTTTACACCCGATCAATTCATTTACTTTCTATCTAGGCCATGGTTTTCAAAGAAAACGACTTCGCGATGAATGCCGGCCGAAAAGGATTACTCATTGCGTCTGATGGAAATTGCATGAATTTCGACAACATGTCCGACTAGTAAGTTGAATCTTCTTCGCATGACTATGAAGTTTTGTTAACCAAAGCATTAGCCGCATGAATGTTGGATCAGTCTATGTCCCATGTTCATCCGAGGTCAAGCAAGACATGATGTGCTCAATGTACTCGTAAGTGCAGAGTCTCTGACTACAAATATCTAGTGCTAAATCATCTAGCGACAACTCTTGCAACAACGAGCTGTTCACATTCACCCGACCCCATGCGAATTTGCTGAGACAAGCTGTTGGCGGTGGTGTTGGCAAACATGCCAGAAGCATGAAATGCATGACGGTTCAGTCTCCTGCCGATAGACAAGGACATATCTTCTCAAGTGATCATGCGTCCACCAAGAGTCCAAGCAGCTGCCCCAATGACAGATGTTCCAGTGGAATGAACTGTCAATCAACCCACCCGGATTATGGCATGTACTGCTCTTCAAGCTCCATGACCTGCCAGCGAACTTCTGTAACTGGCTCCCTTTGCAGAGAGGATGGCCAGTGTGTCGGGGGTTATTGCCAGAGTGGTATGTGTATGGCTGCCGCGGAGAACCTGCGTTGTATGTGGGGCTCTGATTGTCCTTCTGGCCTGCGGTGCCGTCCTACTCGTGTTCTCAATTCGCTTGGGGCTTCCATGGTCGAGATGGTCTGTATGAAAGATGAGGATGTTCGCGGCATGCAGTGCTCTGCTGAAAAGCCTTGCGCAGAGCATATGTCCTGCAGTCTTCAACATGAAACTAACGCGTACTGTGAGTGGGACGGTACTTGTGCACTGAATAATATGAGTTGTATGTCGGGCAGCCAATGCTGCTCTGGAGTTTGCAGGGCCAATTTATGCCAGTGACAGTCGTCAGTGATAGTCTTTGTGGAGGATGCCAAGCTTGGAGCAAACGGTATTGAAATTGATATATGAACTGGATTATAGCTGGTAATACGCGTGGTAGCTGAGGATAATTGAGATTCATTAGCAATGGGAAATTTTCTCTCTGATCGTGCCTGAAGTTGGACCTCCTAACGAAACTATTCCGACACGTTCGAAGGCATTACCACACGGATGTTTATAGAGATCTCAACTTATTTATCTGATCTGATGCACAGAGTAAGTTTTTTTAATCAAATCTCAGCCCAGCTGTAGGCAACATGGTCGTTTGCATCATCCCTTTCAAGGACACAGCCGCTGAATTCTTTCCAATGCATCATCTCGAATATCATAAACAATATCTTCTGCAGCTTTCACATCATGTATCAGTCCCACAGAGGCTCCTGCATATGTCGCTAGTCTCCCCTCAGGTCCCCATCCCTTGTCTCCCGTCTTAATAGCTTCATCATGAAGCTTTTCCAGTTCCTCGAAAGACTTCCCTTCCTGCTGCTCAACAAATGATTTGTTTAAGATAGTCCGGGGACTGTATTCTTCTGGCCACCCAAAAGTACCCCTGAGGTGATTATACAGTAGCGTACGGGTGGTTGAGGTTGCACCATCGACTGCACGCACAACTTCATCCTGGTAACCCCGGCTAATGCGTGCTTCACTGGCAGCCAGGAATCGCGTCCCCATCACCACGCCCGAAGCTCCAAGACACAACGCCGCTGCAACACCACGCCCATCTGCGATTCCGCCAGCCGCAAACAAATGAATTTGACTGCCTGCCATGGCATCTGCTACTTCGGGAAATAGCGCCATAAGACCCATGCCATCTTTCGCCCGGCCGTGACCACCGGATTCAGCCCCTTGCACAACAACAACATCTGGTCGCTCCCGGTTCTGGAGAAGCTCCTTTGCCTCCTTCAGAGTGCCAATCTGAATCCAGATTTGGGTATCAGGTGATACCTGACGGATTTTGCTAGACCAGTCGTCGTATTCCTCGGGTCCCTTTCGTGGGGCATATAGCCAGGCTGCACATGGTTTATGCTTCTCAATAGCGGTGACGGCAACATTGATGTCGTCACCCCAGAGTTGGTATCCTATGCCGACAGGTAGTGTCGAGCCGGGAGTTGGCGCTGTGTTGGCCGCTTGGCGTATGAGCGATGATGCTTTCTCGAGATCATCACTTGTGTCCTGTGTTTTGGCACCGGGACCGATGAATCCCAGTCCACCAGCGCTAGAGACGGCTACTGCCAGTGCTGGACCGGACATTACTTTCATAGGGGCGCTGACCACAAATGGACTAGATACCCATGGGTATCGCGATAGCAAGCTTGTCGCCATGGTTTCGTGTTCGAGATGGTCGGCAAATATTTGGCTAATGTCACTCTAAGGCCAGTGGTAATTAACATGCGATAAGACGTGCGGGAGGAAGCTTGTTTTAAATGTTGTTTAAACATGATGTTTCGAATTTACCGAGGCATTTTCGTCGACGTCATAACAATCGGTAGTTCCGCAATATCCGCATTCTATTCCGTACCTACATAGTACATACGTTGCGGGAGGAATATGCCTGCAACTGTTGAAAAATGTTAACATATTATTACTGAGGGTATTAAAAACAACAGGCATCAAATGGTTTTGTATAGTTATTAGAGGCTGGTTAAAAAAAAAACCTTGAATTCTTGTTCAAGCATTCCTCTAATGTATGCACTATCCAATATTCACAACTCTAAATTAGTCTTTCCTGACTTGTGCCGCGGAAGAGTCTGTGTTTTCAAAACATAGTCCACTCATCGCTCATAGTGCTTATGTCAAAATTGATGGCCCAATCTGCAAGGTCAAAGTGATCAAAATCAACGAAGCTAGTCGTATCCATATCCGTCATTGTTGTGGTGTTTAGCGCAGGTAGTGTTGGGACTGGCTCTGGTATACGATCAGGAGGCTTTGTAGAACTGGCTGTCGTAAAGCTATCCAAGATGTGGTCGAGCTTGCGCGAGATAGCCTTTGAGGCTTTGATGCAAAATACATGATTGGTCTCACTAGGACTGGAAACGGTCTCGAGTTGAGACACTAGGACAGAAAGATTTCGAATAAGAGTGGATGTCTTGATGCCAACAAGAAGTTGTGCTCCTCTTGATGAATCTTGAATAGAAGTTTCCATTGCAGTAGAGAGGATTGCAGCACATGGCAAACCATATGAGAGAATCTTGCACCCGTTAATGAGAGGTATTTTATACCGGCGATATTAGAATGGGGTACATACAATGCCAGGCAGATCGCGAGGTGAAGATGTTCTCCCGCGACAATTCGTCATTTTCACAACTGTTTCGAGCATGTTCGCTGACACCTCAAGCAACTCTGGTTGAAAAGTCGTGTTACCATCACCCCTGCCAAGTAATCGATAAATTTGAAAGTGGATGTGAAGATATGACAGGTAGACCTTTGCATGCATATAGCAATGTGCGGGTGGGAGATTCGATGCCCAGCACTCCTGTCTGTATTGAAGATAATGGGGTAAACTGTTCCACGCTACATAGCAGCGACTGGACAACTCTCTACAGTATCTTCAGCATGTGAAAGGGGCAAAATAGTACAAGAGCATACCTGAGCTTGATATTATCGGCAGGTTTTATTGATCGATATTGATATTCGACAATTTCTTCACGAAATTCTGCTAGAATATAACGTATCCGAGCCCACGTGGCGGCTCTATATTTTCCATCTGTGTTCCAGCCGTTTTGCGTAAGCCTGTCTTTTGCTTGTTCTATTTTGTCTGACGATGTGAAAATTTCGTCATCAGATAAGTCCAACGGCAGGTTGCAGTCTGCATGTCGAGCAGTTATTCGAGGCGGCCGGTTGAACACTGCTGCGAACACTTTGTCAAGATAATAAGCTCTGACAAAGCTTCTTCGTCGACACTCCGCCAGAAAAAATGGCGTGACTGAGTGTGTTGCTTCTCTATTCAAGCCCAATGCTAGTAGATCTGTAGCGAGGTCGCCTACCCGTCGCCAGACACCTAGACCTAGGACACTGTGAATATGCGAACTGCTTGTTTCAGGAACGCTGGACTCACTTGCATCTCCCTCAAAAAGCGTGGTAAGTTGCAGATTCTCATGAGCAAGCCATACCATAAGATCAGTTGTTTCTGGTGCAAGCTCACGAGCCAGCCGCAAGCATGAGTTGCCATACCAACCCATTTCCGTAGTGAACTTATCATCTTGGTATTTATCGTCTCCATAACCTTTAGTATAGAGAGAAGAGCGTGCTGCCATAGTATATAATAGACCAAGAGTTTCTATGCGCAAATTCGCTCCGCTGAATAGCGCGCAGAAGGCCTCCAAGTCCAAGTCTTGCGTGATGGCTACGTCCGATGAGGATGAGCGTAAAATATCTTCTGCTAGTTGCGGACCCTGATGAATGGAGATCCGGTCGGTTCTCTCTTCTCTCATGTAACCCGAGTCTGCGAGACACGTTCGAAGGGAAGTGATCAGCTGCAGCACAAGTGGCCTAGGTACAAGTGCAACTTGACTGAATGAATAATACTCGTGGATTCGTTTTTCAATAACTGGGAATAGTTCCAATTGGGAGACAATGTCTTCAATGGTTGTTAAGTGCTCATTGTGTGCCTTTATATTGTAATTGTGGCCCCCGGTGACCGTATCACGCGATGTCAAACCGTTGGGTTCTGCCGACAGGAACGGCCATGTGTGGAATATTGGAGTTCCAGTCGAGGGACTATTGGCATTGTTTGAAGGTTCACTTTGTACCACACTGGTTGAGCTGGGTGGAGTTGAGATAGTCGATCCCTGGAAATTCCGTTGTTTGGTCAAAGGCGCAGGGTGATACCAGCATTGTAGACCGCGGCGTTGACATGAAGCACAGACGGGTTTCCTGTGATCACACCGAATCTTGCATTTCCGGCATGGCTCACAAGAAGCCAGAGAGCGATTACGTCGGCGACTTGGCGCTGACATGTCAAGACGCTCCGATAGACTCTCTAGCTATATGCTGTCTATGAAGATGATGCTAAGGGAGCTTCCAAAAAAAAGTAGATGCGGAGTGCCGGATCTCATGTGGTAATTTTAATTATGTATCGGACTTGTATCGGTGTAAACAGGTTAAATACGATGGCCCCGGAATAGCTGCAACATGCGTCCATGACGGGCTACATGTAAATCGGTTACCCCCGATAGCGACTAATTATTCTTCGATGGTTCACTACTAGCCTTAATGAATGTCCCAAATTATTAATCCCCTACATATGGAGTAGGTAAGATGTATAATTCTGTACATAAGCACTGAAAAATGCAGGTCAAATGTTCAGTGAGGCCTCAGGCACCACAGAACTGAGTCTCGACCCACACTCACTTGACCTCCCCACTCATCTCCGCAATACCCGCCCTGACTAGTATCTCTCATTCCACTCGGAAATTGCGGTATCTCTACTCCGTACAGGTGCTGCTTATTGTTCAAAGCTATGTCACAACCCGGCTTGAAGCGAACGTACGTCCGACTGGCCTGTGCGCCATGTCGGGTGCGGAAAAGAAAATGCGATGGCACCGAGCCTTGCAGCACTTGCCGTGAATGGGGCTATGACTGCTATTATGAACCTCGGCCACCACGAAAGAAGCGCCATATTTCCCAACAGCCTTCAGACGAAATCGCCCCGCCAACGCCCCAACAGCCAATTGACTCGGTGGATACACACGGACTGGATCGTCGGTTGTGGGCAAACTCCGGTGCTGCATTTGTTCGGAGGATGGGCCTGAATATCGATCCTGCAAAAGCGCCAAAACTCAGTCTGTTTGGTTGGAATGTTGGAAAGCGACAACTGTCAACCGAATCTCAGGCTGCATGCCCTGTGTTGTCAATCAGGGATATCACATCCTTGGAGCACATGAGGACCCTCGCTCAGATCTACTTCGCTAAGATTGGTCTGTGTTATGGCTTTATTGATTCTTCTCAATTTTTCGAGCGACTGGAGGCTAGGTGGCAATCTCCTGAGGCTACCGGTCTATACGACAGTGTTATCGGTGGTGTTGCTGCACTAGGTTGTTTGTTTTCCCAACGAAACATGACCATCACCGAATTACATCTCATCGGATCGGCACATTCTATTCTCGACACGCATGTTCTATGTGGTGCTCCTCCCGTCGACCTTCTCACTGGATGGACATTGCGAGTCGTTTACATGCGAATGACAGATCTGCCCCACTCAACATGGATGGCGAGCTCGAAGTTGATGCATCTGGTAGAAGCTGCGGGTTTCCACCTAGAGTCCACTGACTCAGTATTTCCGCGCAGTATCGGCACAGACTTTGATCCAAACATCCGAAGACGACTTTTCGGCGTGGCACTACACCTAAATATGTGGACATCGTACGATCTCGGTTTATCAAGAGTCTCCTTTCAAAAGAATGATTTGCCGTTGCTTCCATCAACCTCCGAGGGTGATTTAACAGATGAGCTACTGGGACTTATTCCATTGTCGGCAAGCCTAGACCCAGGAAGGACAAAAGGAGATGAGATTAAGCTAGGGGAAACCCTTTCGCAAATCCTGGAAAGAGTTCATACTGAGCCTCCCTCGGCCATGGCGCAATGCAATCTTGTGCTTTGCATTCTGCGCAGAATTCACACAGAGAAACTCGAAATTTCCGCTCAACTCGCAGAAAAATCCTTAGCGTTGCTGAAAAAGGGACTTGATTGCTCACGCAGTATGGTCAGGAACTGCAGTCCCTGGCAACACATGGCAAATGTACCTTTCCACATCATATGTGTCTTGCTTGTCATGGACACACGGCAATCACTCGCGATGCTCCCCGAAGCAATGGAGACATTGAAGCTCGTCGCATCCACTTACGATACAAACACCATGAGAGAAGCATGGAGTGCGGCTCTCTTGCTAGTTATGCTTCATCAACAGCGGAGGAAAGATGACCTTACGATCTTCAATGGCATCATGAAGATGGAGGAGCAAGAAAGTCCAGCCGAGCCACCCCAGCAAGAATTTCCAAGCGCCGAAGAATACTCATGGCTAGGGGCTTTAGTTGCTGATCTACCCGGTTTGCAAAGGGATGATCTTGATCAGTTTCTGAATGCGGATATGATCGATGGTTCAAGTTTCCTGGGCGGATCTGGATGAGGAAGCCCTAAACGCGTTTATGTTCTTGAGAGAAATCAATGGAGAGAAATCAATGTCTGTTAAATTTTGTCCCGAGTCAATATTTTCTTTCATCAATTTAGCAATTTAACTTTGCTTCCAACTTTAAAACCCGAAAACAAGTATGATATTACAAAGCCTTGCGGAAATTGCGGGTGGTTCTTTTCTTTGCCCGGCTGGTAAAAAAGTCTCCATTCCGCAATACCCGCTTCTATGGAAAGACACATGTAAGCTCACTACATAACTAATAGTCTTAATGCCCCAATATTCTCCCGGAGTACAAGCTCATACTAACTAAGGGAGTTCAACTTGAATCCAGCGCTCCTGGATATCAAACCATAAACCTCATTAACAAAACGTGTCACTACTCCAAGTTCAAAATGCACGAGAAACCGTCAATTGAAGCAAACAAGGCACTTTCAACACCTCTTTCCAACACAACAAGCTACATTGATTTTGAAGGGGCGGGTGACCCCAAACATCCTCAGAATTGGAGACTGTCCACGAAGTAAGCCACAAGTCCAAATCAGTAAGAGCTGGATATCCTGAAACCAAACTGACACCAATTTCACACAGACTTTTCAACTCAATCCTAGTCTGCTCAGGGACCTTAATTGTCTCCCTAACAAGCGCCATATTCGCACCCGGAATCGACGAAGCAAGCAAAGATTTCGGAGTGGGAACGGTTGTCGGAACACTGGGAACAACCCTCTATGTCCTTGGCTTTGCATCAGGCCCCCTGATCTGGGCACCTGCATCAGAGCTACGGGGAAGGAAATGGCCCTTGACAATTGGAATGTTAGGAGGTGGAATTTTCACTATTGCATCGGCAGTAGCCAAAAATATCCAGACCTTGGTTATATGCCGTTTCTTCGCTGGCATGTTCGGCGCCAGCCAACTGACTGTTGTCCCCGGCGTACTGGCCGATTTATACAGCAACGTAACTCGCGGTGCTGCCATTTCGCTATATGCTCTGACTGTTTTTGTGGGGCCGTTTATGGCTCCTTTTGTGGGTGGCTTCATTGCGTCGAGTTATCTTGGCTGGCGATGGACGCTTTACATTCCGGCAATTTTTAGTCTGGCCAATGGACTATTGAGTGTTTTCTTCTTGGATGAGACATACCCGCCTTGTATTCTCGTGGCGAAGGCTGCTGCTATTCGCGAGGAATCACTAAATTTGAATATTCGCGCCAGACATGAGGATGTCGAGGTCAGCATCGCAGGTCTCGTGGAAAAATACTTCACACGTCCATTGACGTTACTTTTTACGGAACCTATTATTCTCGTTGTGTCGGTCTACATGTCTTTCATCTATGGCCTTGTCTATGCGCTTCTTGAGGCATATCCCTTCGTCTTTGAGCATGTATACGGAATGACCCCTGCCTTTGCTGGTCTAATGTTTATTGGTCTCATTATCGGCGTCGTGCTCGCGTGTGCCTTCATTCTTTTCGGGCAGTTGGCCTATGCAAGGAAATTGGCAGAGAATAAAGGCATCGCAGTGCCCGAGTGGCGCCTTGCTCCAACACTCCTTGGAGCGCCTGTTTTTACAATAGGTCTATTTTGGTGAGTAGAATCATTTTGTGCTAGAATGATGTATGATGTCTAACTGGAAAACCATCAGGTTTAGTTGGACGGGGTTCACCCCTCAGATTCACTGGGCTGCACCTGCTGCGGCGGGGATATTCATCGGATTTGGGGTGTTATGCATCTTCCTTCCGTGCTTCAACTATATCGTCGATGCATACTTGCCAATGTAAGTTCTCAGTCTATCTACTCGAGGTAATTCAAACACCCCGCTAACGTACCTGGATCTTAGCGCTGCTTCAGCTGTTGCTGCCAATATCATTCTTCGGTCGGCAGTAGCTGCGGGCTTTCCTTTATTCTCAAGGCAGATGTTTCAGAATATGGGAATTCAATGGGCTGGCACGTTACTTGGCTGCTTAGCCGCCATAATGATCCCCATTCCGATCATATTCAGGACTTATGGTCCTTGGCTACGAGGGAAAAGCAAAGTATTTCCTTAAAAGTGCTATGAGTTAGACCGAACGAAATGACACGGTGAGTTTTTTCCATGGAGTCACAACTGCTACCAAGCCCATGAGGATAGGCATATAGTGTATTTAGTAAGAATTGAAACGCTTTATTCTCAACTTCCCAAAGGCATCGCCCCGATCCATCCTACGGGATTAGACCCTCCGAACCCAGCACGAACGTAAGGAACTCATTTTGTACACCATAGAAAAGATAACAGTGTTTCCTCATATTTTTAATACAAGTTTTCCGTAGCCTGTAGTGGGATGCGAGGGTTCGGAGGTTCGGAGGTTCAGAGGATTAGCCTAGAGAAATGGCCTGTTGTGGGATGTACCTTGCGCTAACTTTGATCTCCATGCGACGTTACTTCGTTGAACGGGATACAAAATTAATTCACAGTCAATCTTGGAAGAAATGTGATCTGCTCTCAGATGAACTTTATAAGTAGACAACATCCCTAGCTGTCTAAAGACTCGGGATGGAGTCCTATTTACCCCCAAGCTGAGAAAGTATTGACCTCGTTCTTTCCTTTTTAGTACCCCGCCAAGCTCTATTATGTCACCCAGCCCCTTCATCATAACAATTGCAACCTCTTTCGCAATGTCGACAACCCGGTACACTGTACCTGTCCCCGAATCGACGCTAATCTTGGAGACTCGTCAACAACTCAATGATATGGCAATGCAATTCCCACTCGGAACGGTGGACGACAGGAATGGAGGCTATTATCTCCTCGACCACGATACTACTGTTTTAGCTGTTGCGTCTGATCCTCTCTGTGAGGAACTGGATGCTTCAATGGAGGCAGCAAAACGGTACCACAACGCCCATCCAGAAATTGACGAAGAGAGCAAATCCGTTGCACCTTAAAGTGTTGAGGCAGACTCGGTCCTGTCAATGCGCTCTTTCACCCATCCACGCTGTTACACACATGCCCTCTGCCGGACCTACCGCAATTGCCATGTGTGCTCAAGTAGCTACTATTGGTGTTCCTGAACACATCTAGGAGAAAAGATGATGCGGGAAATCCATGTGTTGGGGCAAAATAGCGTTGAGGCTTCGCCAAAAGAAAAGTCCGAAGGGAGTTGATTTGGGGAGAGAAATGGTCTCAAGGTCGATCCATATGTAGTTGCTAGGAGATAGAAAGAGAGTACAATGAAAAGACAGCTCTTTAACTAGAGTGACTATTTAGTAAGACAGCTAAACCTTATCAGCTTCTACAAACAAATGCGTACGTGGGGAGTTTATACTTTCAAGAAGAGAAGAGAAGTAAGATGTGATGAGATTAGACAAACGAATTACTTGAGGGTCCTTTGAGCTCTACTTATATCCGAATACGGAGCATATAATTATATTATTGAATAAACTCAATCACTTGACTTCAAAAGTTGCAAGCCTGTACATGGATTCCCTGTTTGCCGACCTCCACTTATTCAGGGTTGTTATCAATGGAACTATCCACAGCCCATCCGTTGAGCATGGTGTAGTCGGAGTACGGCGAGGTGCCATGCAGGGTCTCATAGTGTTTGCGAGGCCCACACTCTCTCAACTTGGCGGAGTCTGCGTTGACGCACCGGTGCTGCATGATAGCCGCGATTTGTCGGCCTGCGTCTTGTCCTTCATAGTATGCACCGTGAAGGAATCCAAAGAAGGTCGGGCTGGTAGCCTCGCCGGCAAACCAGAGTCGGCCAGTGTTGGCGCGAAGGTTCTGATGCATCTCCAGAGTTGTGGCAGGAGGCCAGTTGGAGTAGCTGCCGTAGGCCCAGGGCTCTGATGTCCAGCGTGGGTACATGAATGCAGTTGGCTCGGGAATATCCTTCTCCGGGAACATCTTGCGCAGAACTTCCATTGCTTCCTTCTTGGTCTGCTCGTCTGTTTGGTGCTCGGCTCGATAGGCCATCTCGTTGGTCACGGTTACAAAAATGATGTTGGAATCAGGGAGGAACCCAGGGGTGGATAGTGACTGCCAGATGGGGTACCAGCCACGGGTGACAGGGTCGGCGTAGAGGTGATATTGTGTTTCCGAGGGCCAGAAGGTCTCGTTGAACTGGAAGAAGATCTTGGTGTATGTTCCCATGGTGAACTTCTGAATAGCTTCCTGCTTCCAATCCGGGAGCTCTGGGGAGAAGTTGACAGCGCCATTTTGTAGAACTCCCAGTGAGAATGTAGTAATAGCATAGTCTGCTTCTACACAGCTGCCATCTTTGTTGTGAACTGTGACCCCATCGTTCGAATAGGTGATGTTTGTGACCTCAGTGTTCAAGTGAAGACGGGGGTCATTGTCAGTTAGGAAAGTCGATGCAAGACCTTTAACAATGATATTCAATCCACGTTGGTCTAAAACAAAGTTATCGTGGTCGCTGAAATAATTGAAGGTCAAGTTGTCACCAGCACAGCCGAAGACAAATGAACTCTCTATTGGGGAGTAAGCAGCTTCAAAGTCTAGCCGAGATGTTAGTTGACCGCGCTAGGTGAATTTACAAGACAGATAACTTACCCCACGACCACCAGTCAACAGCTTGTGCTTCCATGTCATGTGCCTTGGGGTTCCAACCAGCCAAGGCCATACCTGACTTGGCGTTCTGATCCTGGAGATTCTGGGTAAGAATCTCACCTGCCTTCTGGTTGGCAATATCGTAAGCCTCGTCATAGGCGTCCAATAGATCGCTATAGTCGGAGTAACCATCCTTGTTGTAGGTTGACACATTGTCGTAATTTGACCAATGGGTGTTCAGTCCGTATTTTTGCGCCTATCCGAAGTTAGTTTGTCTTCGATCGAAGACATTTCAAGACTTACCAAGCCCCAGATTGGGTTCTGTGGGCCTCCCACGCTTCCAATGCCTTGTACCTGTTTACCTGTCAGCATAGTCCTTCCATACAGCTCGGATATGCATACCCAGTTGGCACCCATCTCAATAACATAGGGCTTGCCATCTTTGTCTTTGCCGAATGGCTTATGCCAAGCCCGACCGCCGATGGTATCGCGGTACTCGAGAATCACGAAATCATGCACGGAAGCATTCGTGAGGGCTTGCTATAAATTGTCAGTGACATTCAGATTAAAAAGGAGGGAAACTCACAGCAGCAGTAATACCAGCCACACCACCTCCCCTATACTTGGTTAGTTTTGAGATCAATCAAGAAGACATCCAGTTCTTACAAGATTGCAACTTTAGTCTTCTTGCATGTTCCCTCAGTTCGAGTCTGGTGGGGCGCAGCGATAACAGGCTGGACTGCGCCTGCTATGGCCAAAAGGGAAAGGTGTTTCAAATGCATGGTAAAGCTCTGAAGATCTGAGAAGGGGACGGGTTGCAATAAATAAATGTACTCCACGAGTCCAAGACATTGACCGAGGTGACCCACAGTGGGGGCTATAGCTGTAAAGATAAGATCCCGCAAAAGACGCAAAAGAGAAGAAAAGAGAAGATCTACCTACATGTAGGTACGGGGAACCTCCGACTGTGAGGCTTTCCGCAATTGGGCAAGTACACGCGGGAAGCTAAAAGCATAATTTAATTCAACCGAAGTATGTAGTCCATATAGATACCTACGTATCTGCGGGGATGGCTTCAATATTCTTTCCCTTTTTTTTTTCCTAATTTAATTAATTCTAATCTCCTTCTCATCCTTCTCATTACGTTTAGAATCCCCAATTAGGCTAGTACATCCCGAAGTGTTAGATATACTGTTGGACGGGAAATATCTGAGGCTACCTAGGTAATCTATAATGTCTACCGTTAACTCGTCACCCCGAGTATCTCCCAATTATTTGCTCATGATATCGAAATTATCGGAGAAGTACGATAATCGGTACCTCCACTAAAATAGTGACTAGATTCAACCGGTACTTCCGGCACTAGAGCCTCGGCATTCATACGTACCTGGTATAGCTCGAAAGCGGTGTTGGAAGCTTTAGCGAACATGCGATTGAACTGTTTCAGATAATGACTCAGCGAAGCGATTATCCATGGATCGTTGGGGATTCTTCAAATAAGCTGGGATAAAAGGTCTCAACACTAAACGCCGCTGCTCCCAAGGTCCCGCTAATCCTCACCTCTCCGATTGGAGATACGATACTCCATGCAAGCTCCACCGAAGGTCATTGACAAATAGAGTCCGCACTATCGTTGCCGAGGTTGTCACACCAATAATTAATCCAAGCTTCTGGGCAAGGTAATAGGCAGTAATTGTTGTTCTAGCATGTCCCCCTCGACTCGGTGCCGATAAAGCTACAAACTCTGTCATGAATAGGCCTTCCATTCCGATTCCTGCAAGAAACACTGGGATCAGACTAAGATAGATAGCACTCGAGCACCAAATAAGGGTGAACACTGTGAAGGAGCTCAATCTAATAATAGACAATTTCTTATATCTCATAGTTCGGGTTCGATGGTTCGATGGTTAGACTGCGTCTTAAGCCACCCAACTTACTGGCGAATCAATCCACCATAAATAATTGAACCTAGGGTGATACATAGTGGAAACGGTGAAATTACGAGGCCGAATAAGCCAACGTCTGCTCCGCACAATCGAGCATAAAGCATTGCAAAGTTCGAGGTGAGCTAGTTGGTTAGCAGAGAGGATGCAAATATATATGATCTAGTAGACGACAGGACAAAGTATAAGACAGTCCGGACTAAGCATATAGCCCAAGGCCCGTTCTTTTTAAGAGTTGAAGCCGGGATAATCGGATTCTTTGAAAGATAACTAGAGCTCATTGACCATAGAGGGTAGCCGAAGTAGCGAAACCGGCGAAGGTAATCGTCCTGGAATGGGCTATCAGGCCGTGAAATGGTAGCTAGAGGGTAGGATCAAAGAAGATCAAGTTTGTCAGCACATCCATGGATCTGACTGGCCATGCTCCTATTTACTGGACATGCAGAAACGGGGCGATGTATTGAATTCATCACAACATCACTACCCAATAGAAAGATGCGGCTGAGCTGAGTCCTTGCATTAGAATTGCCAACGTTTTGACTGGAATGTGGGGGTTGTTACACATATGTAGCGTGTGTGACTTGTCACTATCCAGGATCTACATGCATATCATTGCATATTATTGAGTCGTGCGTCTCAAGACTGTACTTGTCAAACAGCTTTTCGATTTGATTATATCCTTATAGCCACCCACTTCTTTCTTTGATGCGTCCTTAAGGTTGGTGTGCTATTTTCTTTTAGCGGGGTATACAACATATATGCAGTGGGCAAGGAAACGCCTTTATATACGATAGTCGTCTAGAAATTCGTCTAGGACAATGGAGTAACATCGTACCAGGTTCCAAGGTTGGATTTGGAAACTCGAACATCCAAGCAGCCATCCTAGTGTCTGTCAATGGACATATGCTAGGCATCGGTGATCTACAAGTTACCCCTAGCCCTCATCACCGTACTCGGGGCCAAGAGACTTATTCATACTTCATGCAGTGAATAATATTCTCAAGGCAGCTGAGACAAATAGAAAATCGCTAATCATGTCAATTTGTCTTTTCGGCAAATTCATAGAGATGATTGGTCGAGTTTCCCAATGTCTTGGATAGGACAAGGCCGAGGGCTTCTGCGTGAGCTCCCGAGCCGTGGGGATACTTCCATTGCCGTCTCGGTGAGATAGGAGGTTAGTGGTTGATATATCGAGGTAATACACAGACCGACAAGGTGAGAACGTGGGAATAATTTGCGCGGCCCCTTGGAATAAGTGGAATTTCCTCATTCCCGGAGTTCCATGACAGCCAAAAAGAAAAGATTTTTGTCCATAGATACAAGAAACTTAATAGATATAGCCATGATCGTAGGAAATAGGGTAGAAAAATTGCTGTAGTTCGATGGCTGCAAAGCTATTCCACAAGGGAAAAAATGCAAAGAAGAGGAAGAAACCGAACCAGAAGAACACCGCGGAGCTATGCAAAGGCCGTGTCAGATGTCATCTGACGTTTTCCTGAACGCCAAATCAGAGACACCAAAGATTCAGAAAGGAGGACCAGAAGATTATTCTGGGCTAAAGCAAAAATAAGAAGAAAAGGATATGCATAGGATAATTCCTTTCAGCGGAAGGCATAAGAAGGGCGAACCATTTTCGATACTTCTGGATTCAAAGAGAGCTGCTGGTAAGGCGAGCTTCCTGGGTCATAGTACAGGCCTTCGATGTGCCCGTCCTCGCGGCGAAGAGAGATGTAGTAGAATCCGGAAATTGTAAGACCTTGACGAGCGTCGGTCGGGGTGATGAAGCATCTTTCTGGGATGTATTAGCAAAAAGCAAATACAAGATAGACAGCGGAAGCAGACATGATCTTCCGCTACTTACCCTTCCATCTCATCAAAATCCATCCCTTAGATAATTCCTCGGTAATCCACTTCCGACTCACAAGGTTTTGAGCCATCTCAGCGTCTGTCAGATCCTTGAACGGTTGCAGTTCACGCCAGTAGGTGCTATCAATTTCAGCATCTGCTTTGAAGTTCTTTGTCTCCAGCGTGTGATTGTTGAAATCGATGATCTCGCCTTCCAAGAAAGTTATAATGTGTGCATCGTGGGTAGGCGAGGTCTTATCGGGGATGTTGTAGGCCTCCATAGTGCCAGATAAAGTCATGTCATCGTAGTTAATCTGGTGTATCGTCACTTTGACGGGCCAATTTTCATCGCGGTTGTTAGCTAAGTATCGGCGGCCACTTGTAGTAGAAACGCTGATTCGAGTGCTATCACTTCCATTTACAATGACAGGCTCAGTAGGGGCGTTCGGACTGGGAATACGTTGCGACAACACTGGACACCCGGCACTTGCAGCCCGTTGACAGCCCGAAAAAGCCATTCCAGATCGAAGCCATGAACATGCCGCAGGTGGTGCAATGTTGGGAGTGTATAAAATGAAATCCGTGTCTCTCCAAGACTTGTTATCCATTGAGAAGGATAGCCGACTGTCCGCCAAGGCATGCATACTATCTTCAAGGGAGTCTGAATACCGAATGCGATCGAGATAGTGAATGGTTTCCCCCAGCACGTTGCTCGGATACGTGTCTGGGTGTAGTTGGCGATGAGCGGCAGCCCGAGCGCGTAGGTCGTTGTGGGTGATGTTGGTATGATTTGGGTCCCCGCGGGTTGCAGGACGATAGCGGTATCCCCGAGATGCGACCGCTATCGTATTTTCAGTGTCCTCGTCTGGAGTGATCTCTGAATAGCGGTCGATGATGTAGTTCTCCAGTGTGCGGCTTCTTGGAAGCCGAGGCTGACGCCTTGCAGATTGTAGTAATGCCGCCACTGCGGATATCGATGTCCGAGCCTGAGTGCTGCTTGGTAATGTCGCATACTCATGGGGTATCAGTTGCGCGGGGCCCGGGACCGGGACCTCGTTGCGCGGAGGTCGTGCGGGGGGTGTATCACGGCTTGAGATGGAATGGAGGAAGGGCTGCATCTGATCATCTTCCGAGTCTTCGCGCAAACCACCTTCCTCATCATCAGATCCGGGCGCCCATCCATACAACGATCTCGAGTTGGGCACTTGGCCCTCGTAGTTCGGCATGTCGGTTGATCTCTCCTGGCGGCGGACAATCGGGATGCGGCGGTTGAGTTCAACGGACGAGCGCGGGTTGGTGGGATCATCTACCTCCATGCGGTCTTCGTTTTGCGGTGGCGGATTAGCCGGATAACGACGGCGACGCTGTCGGCTCAAGGAGGGTAGTAGCGGATTGAAGAGAGCTGGTCGCGATCGCAGGAAGTTCACGTTGTCATCGTGGGCATTATCGGTCTCCACAGGGGCCGGTGTGGGAATCGACGATCGGCGGGGAGGGTCAGGTGCCGCAGTCGTCGGAGAGAGTTGCGTGGCGTGCTAGAGGATATTAGTTCACTGATTACATAGACTGTGATGGATTACAAGGATAAAACATACTGAGTTAGGAGGTGGCATTCTGATCGGAATGCGCCGTCAAGGAGTGTGCGGGATCGACGTTGGCCATGCAAGGCCAAGAAACAAGGATATGTATAGCAACAGACAATTAAGTCTGGGGGAAAGATGTCCACAAATTGCGATCGAGAAAGTGTTGGATGTTGTGCTTCTTGGACTTTGGAGATGTGGAGATGCCCACAACATATGACGTTCTTCCTTTCAGCCGGCCGCCTCTGAGCGAATCTGTGAACTCATTTATTGAACTTCACGATGATTCTAATCTTAATTCATTACTTGTTCTTCCTTAATTCTATGCATATATTGGAGTAAAGTAATAAAAATCCAGGAACGTGGGGCTCCATGTCATCCTGCAACACATCACACAAAAATAATGCTGACTGCATCTAAAAATCGATCTATAAAGGTCATTCAAAAAGAAACCCCATATATTTCACAAGCCTCCGTCGGCCTTACATTTATCCCCCCGTAAAACCCAAACAGCTCTCCATGTTGGCAATCCGCTTCTTCATTGACTGAAGTGGGAAACCCTATCGTTTCCTCGGCTTATGAATAAGTGGCTCTCTCTTCTCGTGAAAAAGCGGGTATCTATTTCCTGTTATTCTCATAGAGCCTGCTGAACTTGAGCCTCGTGAGTACCCTGTTCAGTACCTTTGCGGGCACCTCGAATGCCCTATGCAATCGAGGTTCATACCCGCAGGTGCTTCTAACGTTTAGTATATGTAACGTTTGCACAGAATCGGTGTTAAATTGTTGAACGAAGGCATTTATAAACAATAAATCCACAGATATTTTCATATCTCGTTACCAAGAACAAAGGATGCACCTTAGAATGAATTTCTCGGAAAAACAACTTGGACTATTTAGACATATCGAAAATCTTACTCTATGACCTATATCCGACCTACATCTAGACATTGTTCTAATCAGTGTAACAGTATGTGCAATCGAAGATCTATGCAATAGTCTAAAGGGTTCGTAGATCATCTACAGAAATCAAACTTTGCGTGCAGCATTGCAATCATCGGCCAGCTGGACACATTGTAGGACCATGTTCCAGAAAGCATCTAGATCAACACCCCTGGGGATAGCAACGCCCGGACCATCTACAGGAGTAGCGACCGAGCGCCCTAGTTGACCTGTTATGGATACATCTTTCCCATGCTGTCCATCGGTGACAATACTCAGAGCAAAACGCTCGCCGCCTTTGTCATCAAACACAAGAGCTTGATTAGGGTGCTTGCTGGCAAAGGCTGGATTCAATGTCGACAAGATCGCAGCCACAGCAAGGGGATCATGCAGCGGAGGCCCGGTGGTCAAACCAAAAGCTTTCTCATATGTGGCAGCGAAGAAAGTGAGTAGCGCGTGCAATATTTGCCGAAGGATAGTGGGTTCCTCGGCCGAGTGGATCGAGCCATGCAAGATGCGCGTTTGAATGGCCTGTGAGGCCAAAACCTGATGTGTGAGATCCAAAGCCATAATGGCTGTCTTGGATGCAAGAACTGGGTTGCTAAAGATTGACTCGGCAGACTCGGGGTCACACTATACCACCCTGATTAGACGAGCTAGAGAGTGATGAAAGATTTGAAAACATACATAGAAGTTGAACTCAGCCCATGGGGTCACATTTCCGATCCTAGACTTCTCACCTGGAAGTCTGCTCATGGGAGCATCGGTGAATCCTTCACCGATGGCACCACCCATAATGCTCAGCCCTTGGATGTGTTCAACCACCTCGGGGAATGTTGCAAACAACAGTGCGATATTGGTCAATGTGCCCGTCGCAACTACCCAGGGAGTGCCCTTGGGCTGTGCAAGAAGTGCATCTCTCATGGCCAAAATGGCGTTCTTATCGGTGACGGGTGCTCTAGTAGCCTTTGGAAGAAGGTCGGTCCCATCAAGACCAGATTCTCCTAGAGAGTGTTATTGGAAGTTTTCGCCCGCGGTGTGTTCATTCCATACCATGAATATCGGGCGCATGAAGAGCAGGCCGTGAAAATGGCTTATGGCTGCCGGGATAGACAGGAATATCGGGCTTGCCGATCGCCTCAAGAACGCTGCCGGTATTGGCAGTTGTCTTCTCTAACGATGCATTTCCATGGATAGTACTGATTCCAAGAAGGTTCAAAGATGGATGATGAGCGGCGATCAGAATTGCAAAGGCATCCTATCTCATATTAACGAATATCTCTCTATAATACCTTTTGGGGCTTACATCGTGGCCTGAAGAACAGTCAGTAATACGAAGGCGAGAGGAACATGATGAACTGACCAGGATCGCAATCCAACCACAATGGAGTAGGATTATGTTGATTAACTTGGTCTAACATGGTGTATATCTTAGAGTAACAAATATAATTGAGAATCAAGAGGCCACTTAGGCACTTAAGTACATATGGTTGGCCATAAACAGATCCCCGCATCAATGGAGGGAGATAAGGCTTTATCTTAAAGCCCTAAGCCCTAATGTCCCAATTGAGCCACGTACAGATCATCAACGCTTTCCAAAGTTGATTGTTGCTTCTAACAGAGAACTCTCTGTTCCTTTATAGCTATTGAACCAACTCTAAACGTCTATGAGATGAAATGAATGATCCGCTCCGCCCCGGCCTTCAGCCGATATCCCATCTCAAGGCTGGGCCGACAACATCCAGCTCCAGATCCACCGCGCTGCCTTCCCCGACGACGCTTCAACCTCCTTCGCGTCCGTCCTCTCGACTGCGTACACAAAGAGATTCTAGCAAGGATGACCCGGACTACGCTAGCGAAAAGGCCACTACTGCTTTGATTCGACGCGTCCTGTGCCCCCAGACAAGCAGCCATGGAGCATCTTCCCCACAGCCTCCGGAAGAGCTGTTACCTCCCCTCACGAGCTCCAATGACGTTGATCGTCAGCTCTACGCCCTTCTCGCTATAATTATAAAGGAATTTGTTTACTCATGGTATTCGAAGATTACCCCCGACCAGGCTCTTGTGAATGAAGTTCTACAAGTAATCGCGCATTGCACGCGTGCACTCGAGCAGAGGCTGCGCCAAATCGACGTTGCACAACTAGCCCTGGATGAGATCCCTGGTCTAGTGGAAGCACATGTACTCTGTGAGACTTGACCATTTTAAAGTTCTTCTTGTCGGAATCCATGGTGGTTCCGCGGAGAGGGGAAACATTGCTGACTATATGATATTGCAGCGTACAGACTTGCCAGGCAACAGTCACATCTTTCTGGCCTACCGACGTCGTACCGTACGCTCTATCATGAGCTAAATCCACACCCCGGTCTTTCTCCAGTACCTGATCCAGGAGATCCAGATACAATCGCCGAACAGGTAGAGAACGAAGCGGTCTATCGACGACTTCTCGCCAACGGTATCCTAGCCGTGCTACTTCCAACGGAAGACCTTGAAAATAGCAGTCTCCGAGCGCTGGTGGTTGATGTTATAGCAGATCTGATCCTAGGAAACCAAGTCAGTGGCCGGGCATGCGAAGGATGGTTCATTTGGGAAACTATGGGCAAACTCGCCGCTCAAGTGGGACGTCGTCAAACCCAAGATGTCACAAAATCCGCCCCTGACACCCAAATCAACCGATTAGAGAAGTTTGGCTTACTTTCAACCGATGATGAGCTCCCTGACCAGCCATCAGCGTCGTTCTCAGCCACCGCTTGGATATGGAGCCTTCTGCAGATGATTTATCTTGGTTACGTCGTCTTGCGTTTCATTGCGACGGGTTTATTTCGTGTTGCATCGAGTTCAGGCCCTTCTTCTTACAACCTCGGTGTTTCACCTGCCTTACCCATCAATCAAAAAAGAGATGGGAAGGAGTCGACAGAGGGCATCACGAGTAAGCGCCCGGTTCTCGACTACCGGATGTATTCCATGGTTTCGCAGATACTGGGAATCTCATGGAGAATGCCATGGCTGAGTGGCTTGCTCGCTCTATTCCAGCACCTTATTTTGGCAGGCCCAGGCAGGGTCGGTGCTACGGACGGAATCTTTGATAGGTGAGTTTTTGTTCTCTTTTCTGTTTTTTGATTTATTTCCGGAGTCCTCTGCAACCTCTCAACGCCCCAACCCTCCTTCACGAAGGCTCAGGCCTTGGAAATCAATGACTGTGGAGCAACGGTACGATCTCCGAAACACGATCTACGGGTCAAGTGTCACTTGTGCGAGTCAAGGTGGGACGTGAAGCGTCTTGCTCGCATGCTGCGTCGGTCACTTGATCTGTAACCTTGGGACTACATTACCCGTGGGAGAGATTACCGTCATCTTACGACCTTACGAGGTCTTCTTACTGTACGGTCATTACCGTCAGGCTTACTGGGCTGTTCTGGCATCAGATTGGTTGCCCTCAAATTGGTCCGAGCGACCTTTTCATTTTTTTATTTTTTTATTTCATTTTTCATTTTTCATTTTTTTTTCCAGACAGGGATGACCGCTGCTCACGGATACTCCGTCTCTGGATTTCTTTGACAGAGAAAGTCCCTGTGTGATAGCGCCGGGGCCCGGCCCTTTCCGTGCCGCTCGTCCACTTTTTTGTTGCAAATCTTAAGATTCCAACATGTGCCAACTTTCAATATCCAAAAAAGAAAGACCACATCTGGACGATCGAAATCTCGGCAAGAGACATGCACGGGCGAAAACGAAAACCCAAAAAGAAAAAACCCAGAAAAGAAATGAAATGAAAAAAGAATCATGCCGATCACCCCATTGGAAGCTGGGCCATACCCCTTTTGGCGCCAAAAGAAAACGCAAATGGCTGTTGAGGCTAGTGAATTACTGGATTTGGTCCAATGAGCGAAATTCCTACCGGGAAGGATTGGAATTCGTAATCTGACCGAGGTTCGTGCATGAAGCCTTGTGCTCCAGGTACGGGATATTACCTGAGGGGAAAATTCTCTACTTTTCTCTTTGAGAAAATGATATGCCAGTCCAGGGCTGGCCCAAGCTCCTTCATCTCTCTGCCTAAGCCGATCTTACTCCGCCTCACCCCCACTCTATATGGTCAATTCTTATTTGATGGCCAACTTGGACATTTTCTAAACTAAAATATGCGCGAGAAAAAAAAAGGCACAACGTCCCAGAAAGCTCCACAGTCCAGATTCTTGCTTCACTTTCTTTTTTATTATTTTTTATTATTTTTTTGGGACTTGCCTAATTACTCCGACGTCATGATTTGAGAGAGACCTTTGCTAACTGCCATAGATTCCTCCGGGAGACCATTGAGGATTACGTGCTGACCCCCACTTTGTTGCCCAACCTTCTTCTTGCGACGAGGACCGCCTTGTTCCCAGCCAATACCCGTCCGATATCTCAGATAGCGGCCGGGCATATTGAAGCTCCGGCCTCGGCTCTGCAGTCTGTGCAGACCCCGACGCCCAGTCAAAAAACCCTCGCACCATCGGCCTCTAATACCTCTATTGTGGAAGGAGTCAGGGGCTCTGATACCGATATCATTGGTAAAACTAATAATCCGGGGAACAGCAGCAATAGCGGCAATACTGGAGGGGATCATGCCTCAACCAATACCTCAACCCATCCACCACCACCATCCCTTTCTGCCACTGCAGCCGACGTCCCAACACCAGAGTTAAATGACCCGGCCGAACCGGCAAAAAGGAACAGCCCATCTAAGGCGGAGATCGCCGCTATCAAGCGACGATGTGCAGCTAGTCTTCTGGCCCTGATTCCGCGCTCCATCGTACGAACTTTCCTTGGTGTTCCCTCTTCGGCGCCTCCGCCGCCCTACAATCGTGACGGTACCTGCAGATCCAACAGTTCGCCCTCTCTCGTCACATCATCCCCACCCCCTTCCCCCAGTGTGCACCGTGAATCTTTCCAGGAGGGGAAGGCAAATCTGGCGCCATCGCATTCGCCTTTGTCTTCGAGTCCTTATCCAGTTGCGTGTGGTAACCTTGCCGCTGAGCGGCTGCGCACAGACAATGATCCATCTGCGGGGATTGATTGGGAGGAACTACACCTCCTGGATATAATCGAGTGTGATTTCCTAGACCTCTTTGCAGATGAGTACTGCAATAAACATTTAGTCTGGAGTATTATCGAGACAGTGTTGGCCAAGGTGCTCCCCGAAATGGCTGAGCGCAGTGTGGAAGATTTACTGGAAGACCGTGGGGTGGCGCCAGTGCCACCTGCATTTGTATAGACTACATATTGTTTACGGCTTTCTTTTTTTTTATTTATCACACTTAATTAATGAGATATGCATTACTTATGACTAGCATAACTTCGAAACTTGAAAATAGTGTGATTGTAGAAAGATATTGGGGGTATAATAATAGGCAAGATTAATCTGACATGGGTTCATATATAGGCGAACCAAGTGAAATTATGTCCTTTCCGCGTGAGCAGCCCAGTTTTTAAAAAAGAAAGGGGAGAAAAATTAATATGAAAGGAGCGTAAGAAAGAGATGCAGTACAAGAGAGGGAGGGGGTGTTCAAGGAAACAGAATGCAAAGAGCCAAAAAAAAATGACAGGGGGATATAGAAAACCAGCACAAAAAAAAGGACAGAAAAGACAGAAAAAAAACCCCGAAGAAGAAGGCAAGCGGCAAAAACTCCCAAGTCCAAGTCCAAAGCCGATGATCCCAAATCCGTATACCATCACATATTGCCATGTGCCCATTATTCCATATGCATCCATCTCCAGACTGGGAATCCCAGGGCGTGTGCGCCTATTCCCAAATCCGTAACCCCAAGAGTTCCAAAGGAAAGTAGAGGTCGCCCTCTGGATATGTGTATGTTTTTGTTTGGTTGCCCAGGTTTTTATATCTCGTTGCCATAGTTGGCTAGAGAGACAGGGAATATAAAAAAGACATTGAACCTTCGTACAGATGATACCAAAAAGAAATATAAAAAAAGAATAGAATAGAATAGCAAATGAACCACCGAATCCGAATGAAGGAAAGGAAGAATAGAAAGGGGGAATCACGAATCATAAATCAAAATAACGCAGATAATGTTGGAGAGCGAGGGGAGAGGGGGATGCTTCAAGAAGAAAAATAAAACCAGCAATGCAAGAGAAGGGGGAAAACAAAAGGGGGGGGATAAATAAATGCATAAACAAAAGGAAGGGAAGATATGCAAAATGCAGCTTGTTTAAGGACTCATCCCAAATTGTGGATGCTCCTTTTCTTCGTCACACGCGGGATGGGAATATCCTCATGTTCATCAATGCGCGGCAAGCCACCCAACAGAAACCCGGCCTGGTTCTTGGCAAGATCAAGCCTCTCCATTAGTTTTCCGATGGTCATGTACTCCTGCGCTGCCAGGCCAGAAGGCTGGTGGTCGAAGTAGTTGATGACGAGTTCTAGGGCACGGCGAGCCTCGTCCTGGGTTGGTGATCCTGGAGTGCTGATGGGCGAGATGGTAGCAGACTTTGAAGGCGGCGGCATGGACTTTGTCGTGATCTC